AAGAAAGAGAGGGAAAGAGAGAGAAAGAGAGAAGGAGAGAGAAAGAGGGACAGAGAGAGAAAGCAAGAGAGAAAGGAATAGAGAGGGAGAGAGAAGTAGAGAGAGAAAGAAAGAGAAGGAGAGGCAAAGAGATAGAGAGACAGAAAGAGGGAAAGAGAAAGAGAGAGGGGGGAGAGAGAAGTAGAGAAAGAGAAAAAAAGAGAGGGAGAGGGAGAAAGAAAGAGAGGGACAGAGAGGAAAAGAGAGAGAAAAAGAGAGAGAGAGAAATAAAGAGAGGGGGAGGGAGAGAAAGAGAACTAAAAGCCAGTTTATGCCCAACCTTCTTAGTGAGGACACAAGTTTGCTCCATGGGCAAATAATCCAGTGTGAATATGAACCGCCAGTTGAAGTTGCCTTCTCCTGCCAAAGACCTATAATGGACATCAGTTCTTTGCTTGTCTTCCTCCTGGCCATCCAGCCATCTGGGACCAAAGCAAAGGAGAGGGACAGAAATATTTTTAGTCGACTCAAAAAATGGGATCGGATTTAGCGAAGGGTGCATTATGTAATTGGGTTGGAGTGTTGGCCAGCAGGTGTAGACGGAAATGAAAGCAGACGTGTCCACTGACTCTCTGTTGGCATGTAGGTGGTGTGGGAATGCGTGAAGGACCTCGATGGGGGTAGAAATGACACTCTGGTCAAGCCACGACTGGTTTGATTCTCCACTTCTCACAGAAGAAGCTATGGTTTTGGGTTGTGGGATGAAGAAGGAAAGGGCAGTCGAAGTAGGAATCCAAGAATGGCACTCAAGGGATGCAAAGAAGAGACCAAAGCCTTTACCAAAGGAAAGATAGGATTGGAAAAAAGAGAAGGCCTGATTCAGCGGTGGGATTCAGCCGGTACACACCGATTTGGGGGAACCGGTAGTTCCAGCAATTAGTTAGCCCTGCCCACTCACCTCTAGTCCAGTGATGGTGAACCTTTTTCTTGCGGTGTGCCAAAAGTGTGTGTGTGTGTATGCGATAGTGTGCGCACACGTATGCCAGCACCCACAATGCTGCATGCACAACACCCTGCCCCACCCCCTTACCTGCACTGTGCATACACGCGCCTCCTAGTTGATTTTCAGCCCGTTTGAGGCCGTTTTCGTCTTCCCAGAGGCTCGAGGGAAGCCTTTGCAGCCTCAGGAGGCTGAAAAACGGGCCTTCCGGAAATACCGGAAGTGCCTGTTTTCAGCCTCAGGAGGGCCTCTGGAGCCCGGGGGAGGCCGTTTTCACCCTCCTGAAGGCTTGAGGGAAGCCCCTGGAAGCTGAAAACGGGCCTGTTTCGGCACTTCTGGTATTTCCGGAAGGCCCATTTTTTCAGCCTCCCGAGGCTCCTGAGGCTTCCCTTGAGTTTCTGGAAGGGTGAAAATGGCTTCAAACGGGCCGAAAATCAGCCGGGAGGCGTGTGCGTGCACAGTGCAGGTAAGTTTGGCTGGGGCTCGCATACCCGCACAAATGGCTCTGCATGCCACCTGTGGAACAGGTGCCATAGGTTCCCCATCATGGCCCTAGTCTGTCCTATACTTCTTTGTTTTTCAGCCCAGCTGATTCGCGTGGCACAACGGTTTGCCGCCTATCAGCTGTTTTACTCACCACGGCTGCAGCAGAAGGTAAGTTTGAGCTGAAATTGTTTGTTTTTCAAACTCTGCACCTGCGAAGCGCGCGCTCACTGAACCGGTTGTTACACCGGTTGAATCCCACCACTGATGGCTAGACTGATGGATCTGCATGGGCTTTCTCAGTGTCTCCTCTCCCCGCTGAGATGCTGAAGAGACGGGAAGAGTTTTGTTTCCGAAGAAACTTACAAACTCCCCCTGAATTATGTCACTACTTTTGAATACTATGGAACCACTTTCTTTCTCCGAAGGGAGAAAAAAAACATCACCAATCACATCTTTTTAAGAACAGAGGAATTGGATCCCTTATCAAAATGCACCTGATTGGGATTCCCCACCAAGATTACTGATCTCATACCCTTTCACATAGATGTCACTCATCTTGTCTCCAAAGATATTGGTATCTTCTAGATCCACGTCTTTTGTGTTCCAAATTATGCAGCGGAGCTCGTATCTAGAAAGAAGAGAGAAGAAGATGATTTTCCTATGGCGTAGAGTGAACTTGAACCCGGATCGTTCCATTCCTAGCTCAATGAGGTCAACCACTACCCTCCTCTGGCTCTTGGTGGGGGACAAGGAAGAAGCTTCCAGGAAGAGGAAGCTATACTTGGGAATCCCTTGAGCATAGAGTCGGCTAAGAGTCTGTGGAGTTTCTCCGTCATTCAGGTCATGGTTGTCTCAAAGGTGTTTTTTTTCCCGAAGGCAACTGAACTTTCTCGTTTTTTCTTTGGAAGACATTTCGCTTCTCATCCAAGAAGCTTCTTCCGCTCTGACAAACCTCCAAATGGCCTCAACGACCCTCTCAAAGGATGCAAATGACCAGAGGTGTCTGCAAGGAGTATCAATCCTTCCATTCCCCACCATCCTGTCAGAGCTTGAAGAAGCTTCTTGGATGAGAAGCAAAACATCTTCAAACAAAAAAAGAAGGAAGTCCACTTGCCTCGTGAAAAATTTTTTTGGGGGAAATTCTAAGCAGAAAACAATTCTTGGCTCCATTTGCTGAGAAAGGTGCATTTTTATTAGAGATTATTGTAGCAATGCATAGCCAGAACTGAGATTCGTGCACCAACATCCCTACAATATGCATTCCCCTTCTTAACTGTCTTTCATTTCCTACCCCAAGGTAACCAATTAAAATCTTGCTCGCTGTTTTCCTAATGGTCAGTTCTGATATGCGCCTCCCTCCTCCTTCCAGCTGGGCGACCTTGAAGCAGCTTCTCGGGATGACACAGCACCTACTTTTGATTTCCCAAGCAAGCCCCCCCCCTCATCCCCCTCCTCCATAGTCAGTGGCAGAACTGTCACCACATATCAGCGAAGCGCAAGCAAGTGTGACGTGGCAGCTGACATTTAGTTTAGTTGTGTAAAGCGACTTGACGCAAATTGGCAGCACCTACTTCCTGGGCTTCCGTGGGGTGATATCAAATGGAGGTCCTGGGTCACCCAAATAGAGTGGGAAGAGGTCCACCCACATCTGTAATTTACCCTGGATAGGAGAGAGGTACAGGATTTATAAGACAACATCCACCGTGATAGATTTGCTGGTCTGTCGGATTCTTCTTTCTATCAGCTAACAAGTATAGCATGAAAATCTGAGATTAAGGGTTACTTGGTCAATCCCAGGTAGAGCTGAGTCATAGAGGGTGCGAGTTTCTATGTGTTCAGAGACCAAACCACATGTCCGGAGGAGGTGGAGTGCCATACGTTCTTTGGCGGGTCCCAGAAATCCATGCGAAGGTACTTTGGTCTCTGAAAGGAGGAAACATCAGATGGAATCCCATTAAACTCAACCCAAGGCCTTGAGTAGGCAAGACATCGGTGACTATAGTTTTAAAAGTGGGGGTAAGAGGAAGAATCTCTAAACTTAAAATATCTAAGGTGGGTTTGAGTGAAAGTAAGGAGTTCCAAAATGTAGTTCGTTCCCTTTCCTTTTGACCGGGAGAAGGTCGATAGCTAAGGAAAGCCTTAACCAGCTTTCTAAACATTGCTAGACTGCAGTTACTTGACTTCCTGCAGGCATCTTCATAGCTTTCTTACCTGGGTTTGCAATAGTTAAAGGAGACACTGAATTTCCCAAGAATCCTAGTTGGCAACCTCCATTTCTAAATTGTGATGCTCTCTACCCATTCTTGAATTGTCAGTGTTTGGGGCGAGACGCACTGCCCCAAACAGTACAGTATCAAAAATTGGATGGAAACTTACCGAAGTCAGAGAGCAGATAAGTTCTACCCATGAAAACGGCTTTGCTTCCATCTTCACTTATCTCCGTCTGGGGTAGGTTTTTGGCCTGAATATGATTTTCCAAGAGTTCGCTTGGAAGAAGCTGGTCTCTCCATTGTGTGGGGCCAGCCCTACAAGAGAGAGGAGGGGATCAAACGATGTTTGTAGAGAGTGTTTTTAGAAAGACTCGTGCCTTTTTCTCGAAGCTATCACTTCAGTATAGGATAACCAAGTTGCAAGGGACCATGGAGGTCTTCTACTGGTGGGATTCAATTTTTTTTACTATGGTTCTGTGGGTGTGGCTTGCTGGGCATGGCTTGCTGGGCATTGCAGGGGAAGGATACTGCAAAATCCCCATTCCCTCCCCACCCCACTAACCTGCTTTCCAGCTCCGTTCTCCTGTCCAGGGCAACCAAAGAAGACCCAGCCGATCAACTGGGACTCGATGGGAGGCAGAGAAGAGATGGGGTTGGCGGGGCCAGTCCGAGGTGGGTTTTTGTCGGTTCTCCAAACTACTCAAAATTTCTGCTACCGGTTCTGTACAACCGGTCAGAACCGGCTGAATACCACCTCTGCTTCTATCCAATCCACTGTCCAAGCAGCAGGCCCCATTCCCTTCCAGACAAATGGCTATCCAATTTCTTCTTGAAAACCTCCAGTGATGAAGCTTCCACACCTTCTGGAGGCTTGCTTTCCATTGGTTAATTTTTCTCACTCTCTGGAAATTTCTTCTTCATTCTAGGTTGGATCTCTCTTGGTTAAGTGTCTATCTGTAACAACTTCTCTCCCCCTCAGGTGTTCTGGAGAATCGGTTGACCCCCTCGTCTCTGTGGCAGCCCCTCAAATACTGGAATATTGCCATCATGTCACCCCTAGTCCTTCTTTTTATGGAGACTAGACATTTCCAGTTCCTGCATTTGGTAGATGAAAATAACCTGAACTTCTAAAGCTAGGAAGATGTTCCTGGGAATTTGAATATAATAGAATAACAAATTTGGAAGGGACCTTGGAGGTCTTCTAGTCCAATCCCCTGCCTACACAACTTCAGACAAATGGTTATCCAACATCCTCTTAAAAACTTCCAGGGTTGGAGCATTCACAACATCTGGAGACAAGTTGTTCCACTGGTTAATTGTTCTAACAGTCAGGAAATTTCTCCTTAGTTCTAGGTTGCTTTTATCCTTGATTAGTTTTCACCCATTGCTTCTTGTCCTGCCTTCAGGTGCTTTGGAGAATAGCTTGACTCCCTCTTCTTTGGGGCAGCCCCTGAGATATTGGAACATGATAGCATGGACATGATAGCAATCGTGTCTCCCCTGGTCCTTCTCTGCACTAGACTAGACATGCCCAGTTCCTGGGTATTTCTGGGAGATGACTCCTCCAAACATCTGGAAGCTGCTAGGAGGAGAAAGATGGGATTACTCACGCGTATACTTACACACAGTAAGTCTGTGGCAGCCCACAGTTGGCCCCATAATGAGACATGAGCCGGTTCTCCAAGTCTATGGTGGTGTCCCCAACAATGTCATCAGGTGAAAAGAGGTCAAAATCAAATAATGAGATCTTCAGGTCTTTTTCTAATGGGATGGTGCATGTGAGTTCATACGTTCTTGAGAGACCACCCCAAAAAAAAAGATGAAGAAGAAGAAGAAGAAGAAGATATAAGTGCCCCACTCCTATCCATTCTAGTATCTTCACTCGCAGAATTCATTGCAAGAGTAGACTCCTAGGAATTTGGGGAGCCATGACCCCAACAGTCTTAAATGTTGCCTGGTTAGAAAAGGCTGGACTAGACCTTTGAATGCTTTGTCCATGAAAGCAGAAACTTAGGACCCTTGTACAGGTAAGCCTTTATAAAAAAATAATTTTCATTTTTAACAATTAAAACAGAATGACACTTTGCTTACAATTATGAAGGAAGATAAATATTTCAACATTAGACATATTGAAAGGATAATTTTGAACAATGGATCCAGAAGTTAGTTTTAATCCTATCCCCCTATAGATAAACTCTGTTTAAAAGGCGTTATGGAAGAGGAATGAGCAATATCTAATAGGCCTGATTTTAAAATGGATTATAAGCTACAAGAATATGAAAAAAGAGAGGTTGCACTGGATCTACAAAAGAAACCACTGAAGTCTTCATCATTAAAAAGAATATACAAATAACACGCTAACAGAATGACCTAGATAATTTTCCTATATTGGATTTATCAAAATCTTATAAAAGCTTTAAAGAATTGCGTGAGAAGGGACAAAGAAAAAAAAATGAAAAGAAATCAAGTTCTATGACATTTACTGAAAGATCAAGCCAAAATAGATATGCCGTTATCTCTGATAACTCTTAATAGACCTTTGCTAATATCAAGACTACAAAAAACAAGCATTTATAATTTATTTATAGATAAGAGATGGATTATGGAAAGGTGAAGAATATTCAGAAGAAAAATAGAAGAAAAAATGGAAATATATAAAGAAATGATTTCTCACATCACAAGTCTAAACAATTTTAGTAACATTACCTTCTCTTAAGGTGCAAGAAATGATCTCATCTTCCCATACCTCATCTCTTATCTAATTTTTTCTTTTCTATTTCTCTTTTTATGTACTTTATATTTTCTTCTTATTCTTTTATTTTTAGTTTGCATTAGTTTTTATCATCTGTCTGTCTCTCTCTCCCTCTTTCTCTCTCTCTCTTTATCATCTGTCTATCTATCTATCTATCTATCTATCTATCTGTCTGTCTGTCTGTCTGTCTGTCTGTCTGTCTGTCTGTCTTTCTATCTATCACCACAAATTAGTTAACCAGGTTTGAGAGGAACATGGTCACCTGCTCCTTATGGGAGAGTGTTTTCTTCAGACCCAATCTATGGTTACACACATCGCTTGAATGCTGGTCAGCAGTGCAACAAAGCAACCAGAATCCATTTGCTAGACCGACCTTCCAAACACAGGATCCAGGGTGTTGGGTATATATTCTTCTCGATCAGCCATCCTTTCTTTCCCCAGCTTGATCTTGATGTAGGCGTCACACTGTAAAGAGATGCAAAGAGAAAACTCCATCTTCTCTTCTCCACATCCCATCCCGGGACCAGCACACACAAAGACACAAAGAGAAGGTTTCGTTCTCTTTCCTAAACGAGACTCGCAAACATACGACCCTTGCAGTATGGGGACAGGTTCCTCGCCGAAATTTGGCGAGTTTGACTTACAAGAGTAGCCAGGCAGACTCTGAGAGTCAGAGCTTTTAGGAAATTCGTCAGTTGGTGCCAGTTAATAATAATATAATATAATAAGTCTTTATTGATTAGCCCTTGGGCCATATCAAAAGGTGCCAGTTCCAAACAGGGGTGGGCTTCAAAAATTTTAGTAACTGGTTCTCTGCCAGGTTGCTGGGTGGGCATGGCCTACTCAGCCTCCTGCACCACAGCAGGGGACCCTTTTTTTTCCTTCCCTGGGCTCCGGAAACTTTTCTTGAGCCTCTGGGAGGGTGAAAATGGCCTCCCCAGGCTCCGGACGCTCATTTTTCACCTTCCCCGAGCCTCTACACAGGACCTGTCCTTACCTGGCCTCCAAAAACGTGAAGACTCCTGGATTGGGCAGGGCAGGGTTGGTGGAGCCAGCCAGGGGTTAGATTTGCCGGTTCGCCGAACCAGTCATTAAAAAATGATCACATTAGCTACTAGTTCGCCTGAACCGGTAGCGGCCCACCCCAAGGTTCAAAATGGAGGTTGCGAGGTTTGTGAATCAAGCCACACGGAGTAGAAGTGAATGGACGGTTGTTGTCAGTGTTTGTATCTGCTGCTTCATGTCAACAAAAGCAGCTCTGCTCTAGTTCGTTTAATGAGGCGAGACTCCTTCCGTGCAAGTAGTCTCGCAGAGTGCCTTCGCTCCACACACTTGGCAAACCACTAACCTCTTTTTATTGACGGTCGGCCCCAAATCACCCTGCCGGCTCTCACGGCTGAGGAGGTACTTGAACTTACCAATCCGTTGACGTCTTTTGGCTGGAGATTAAAAGCTCGGATGATATAAACGCGAACCAGACAGTCCTGGGAGACGTTGGCAGGAAGCTCTTGGAACTGACGTGGTGGAGGTAGAATTCTGGGGTCTTCTGGCAAAGGATAGATCCGGAAAAGCCCCTGTAGAACAAAGCAGGGGGTCAGTGGAGGCTTCAAGGAGGACCACTGCTGGTTTTCTTTCCCCGAGACAAATGAGCAAATGATATTGTTCCCCTGACTCAACGCTGCTGGAATTTTGCTTCCCATGGGCTATTAATGAATTGGGAGATTTGGACACATCAACGTAACAATGAAAAGCCCTTGATAAGTCACTAGCAGCAGTTCATTGGAACATGCTCTTCTCTATTGTCCTCTCTATGCAGGAGCACACCAGGAGTTATTATTTCCAGTTTTCATTTAAATAACCTGGTCGTTCTGATTTGTTTTACCTTAAAATGCTATCAGATCAATTTGGCTCCATCGCTCTGTCTACAGGCAGGTACTCCTCAGAACCTCACACTTTATGCTGTAGGTTTGATTCTAACCCTTCTTAGATATTTTAGAATCTTCCTTCCTTCCTTCCTTCCTTCCTTCCTTCCTTCCTTCCTTCCTTCCTTC